AATAGAATATATGACATAGTTTAAATATAATATATCCTAGACTGACAAATCATCTCCGTTCAGAATCGTTTTTCGTATACAATGATACCTATCATCGCATTCAAATTTAATCCCATCCATTACAGTAACCTACTGTACAGCAGAGCRACATCCACGACTTACCCGCTTTTTTTACTATTATTAATTGTTATTTTAGACAGCTGTATACAACAGTTAGGAATAGCTTTGGGGATTTTTTTTCCGATTACCAAACTATCAGGAGGACCAGTATGATTCTGTAATTATAATACAAGTATGGTTACATAGGTTAAAATAGTTGGTTAAGACAAAACGTACAATAATTTATTTATTTATATACGAGTATGTTTAGAAACTTATCTTTTAAATTAATGAATTTAAAAATAAAGATCAAATTAGTTACTACTGTAACCGGTGTCCAAATTACTGTTGTATACAAAATAATTTTTGTAATGCAACTTTTTCGGCATACCTATATTGTGAAAATCTTTCATATATACATGTATACCTATATATGTATATATAAATATTAAATATAACCAACAACAGTTCTTCATACTTTATAAGAAGACATTTATTCTAAAGGTTGTATAAAAGATACTTACTTGTGGTTTGACTTTTAAATATACCATGGTTGGCGCCAGAGAAGTTTTTACCAATTGCGATGGATGATTGATGGTATCACAATCCAAAACAACAAGCTTAAAAAACAATGAAATTTCTCGAAGAAGAATTAACTATAATTAAATGATGTTACTGATTATTAAAGCAATATGTAGGTACCTACCTGTAATGATTGAGCGAATTCAAAAATACGTTCAACTTGTTCCTGCACGCAAGCAATAGTATCCGATCGCGAACCCGGTTTATTTCTAATGGTAGTTATTTTCGACGGATCAGTAAAGAGAGATTTTTTAGCCAAGGATATGTCAGCCATTATGCGGGTAATAATGATTCTGAAAGAAATATGAGTGACAGTGAGAATTGTTAATTTTAATGTTTCGTGATAAGATCCATGAATACGTGGATTGTTTCAATATACTACTAAGGCTCAGATGTCAATGCATATTAATATTTTTTATGGAACCCTTGACACGAGCTTTCCAAGATACAATAAATGTGTTCAACTTTTTTTTAAATAATCTAAAAAAACAATAATACCCTTAAAATGTTTCAAAATGCACTTACAGCCAATATCTATAAAAAAAATGGAAAAAAATTATCCAAAAAGAGTTTGTTGTTAATATAGTATGTACCTAGGTAGGTACTTACTTGAAACACATTTGTGCTTCGGAAAGCATTTTATTAATCATTCCAGAAAAAAATTTAAATATACCGAAATCCGAGCTTTACTATTAAGAGGACGCTACACTCGCATGTGTTGTCTCCGTCTTACAAGTGCGTAACATGGCAAAATCTGTTTAGCGCGGGACAACTTTTCTCCCTCAATATTTATAATAGAATTTTCAAAATTTCACAACGCATAGGTAAGAATTTTATCTGTGTCATAGCGTCGTTATTTTTTTGATAGCACAAACCAATAATTTTAAGTAATTTAATGAAAAAATAAAAAATAAATTTATTTTCTTAAGCTTATAACATTAATTATATTTATGTTATCAAAAAAATAACGACGCTACGACAAGGATAAAGTTCTTACCAATGCGTTGTGAAATTTTGAAAATTCGATAATAAATATTGAGGGAGAACAGTTGTCCCGCGCTAAACAGATTTTGCTATGTTATACGTTTGTAAGACGGAGACAACACATGTGGGTGTGGCGTCCTCTTAA